GGATAGTGATTCAAGACAATTTCTAAATGTTGGTGAAGGCCATGAAAGCAATGATTGTCATGACAAAGTTTGTGAAATTTGTTTATTTTGGGTCTTCTGACTTTAATCAAATAGTGATTAGAGAATATTATAATGATGAAGACAATGAAAGCAATTATTATCCTGATATGGTTACCAGTCTACTGACACTCTACTGATTACTGCCTCCTGACAATAATCACAGGTGGTGTGAGATTTGAAAGCTTCTTTCTCTTTCCCTTTTGGCTTTGCTAATAACAACATCTCTACTCACTCTGTCGGTATCTTAGAGATACATACTGAAGATTGCTTTGGAGTCTTCACAACTTTATTTCTCATTTTCCTTTATGCAACATGCCTGTTTAACATATTTATATATACTTGTTTGTGTAAATTCCATGTTTTTGTACATATTTTTTGCCTGGACTCACATGAGTCTACCAACATTGTACATGTAACAAATGTACCAGAAGTCATTAAAAATTTACTAAAAAATGTCCATACCTCACAACAAATGTACCGAGTCCTGTAACATAGTATAAAAATAATTTTTAAAAATTTAATCCATAATTGAAAATTAATTTTGAAACTAAAATTTTTGATTTGGGAAATTTGTTGATATAATTCTTCTTTTTTGCTGTGTCACTTGAGGATTTGGACGATCACAGTTTTTCACACCTTTCTTTCCTTTGTAGCTCTTAGCAATATTTGTCTCTTTAGTAGCCAACACTTTACCTGTTCTGCCATCCACTTACACAATCTTGTTAGTTTAGTTACTCACTGCTATCCTCTATAGTTCCAATAGGTCTGGTGAGTACCAATTTCCTCAAGCTTTCTTTCCTTTTTATCTGTCTGTTTCTGATTTTAAGTATAAGTGTCCTTTTTGTTTCCATTTTGCTTAAAACATACTCTTTGGTATTCTCAGCATCCTTCTGTAGAACTACATTTGTTGCCTCAAGTCTCCTCTTCATCTGTGAGGAAATTGTCCAGCATTCACTACCATATGGGAAGATTAATATTACATTGCATTTCAGCATTATTTTCTTTGTTTCTAAATATTTTGCTTAGTTTTAGTAGATGGAGAATGTGACACCAAAATTCAAAGGTGTAATGGAATAGCAAAAGATACAGAGTATTAAGAAATAGGAAAATTTCATTATAAACAAAGAAAAGAGTGCTGAAATTTGATGCAATATTAGTCCTCCTATATGGCAGCTAATGCTGGACAATTTCCTCACAGATGAACAGAAGACTTGAGACAATAGAGATGTGCTTCTACTAAAGGATGGTAAGAATACCCTGGCTGGATTATGTAAGCAATGAAGAAATTTTAAGGAAAATAGAAACAAAAGGAAAATTACATTTAGAATCAGAAATTTGAAATTTCTTGGATCCATAATAAGGAAGGAGAACTTGGTGAATTTGACATTTACAACACATAGGGAAGACTAGAAGGACAGATGAAAACAGAGAATACCCTATCTAATGAGTATGTGTAAATGGATGGCAGAACAGTGTAGAGAAGGATACCAAAAAATACAAACATAGCCAAGAGCTATGAAATATAGGTAGTTGCATGACTCCCAACATTTTGAAGAATCATGGCTCATAAAAGAAGAACTTTACTTTTGTAAGCAAAAGAAATGTTTGCTGGGTTTTAATGCAATCTGTCTGTTATTCATAATGCTGATTCTCTGGGTGTATGTTAATTGTTGTGCAATTATTTGTTTTGTCCTGGATTGAGCTCTGAAGAGAGAGGGGTAATAACCAGTTAGTTTCTTTCTTTCTTATATTTTCTGTAATATTTTTTCTTATCCTTCTTCTTCTTCCCTCTTCAATTTAATATATGTGCATATATTATGTCAGCTTGGAGAGGGTTAGGCTCAAATAGGTTACCTTGCCCAAGGCACACCACTGCTACTAAGGCTGCAGTACATGTGGTTTCCCTATAACACTAACAGGTTACAGGACTCATGGTTGTCATATGTTATGGGAATATATAATCTTTTAAAAATTGTCTGATTTTTAAAGCCATAAAATTTTGTAGATTATTTAATGTAAGAACAAACTAATACCCATATCCTGGTTTTTATTACAACATTCTGATCAGTGTTCTGTTCAGGTTTCCTCATCATCTGAAATTTTAATATGAGTTCTTGTCATTATTCTTCAACTAATTCAGATTCTCATACATATTTTTATAAGTATATTTTGGTTAATGTGTATTTTTCATTGTTTTTTTTTTTTGTAGAATTTACATTATTATTATAAAAATATCATATTTTAAAAAGTTAATGACATCAATTTTATTAGTTTGTTTTGCTTTATGTTAAGATTTCTTAGCCAGGTAAATATCAGCAAACGTTAAGTTTCATAGAAGCATAAATACAGGGTTAAGATTATCTCAGTTTAACATTCTCAGCTGCCAACTAATATTGATTTTGTGTCTTTTAAATTTATTTTCTAAACTGAAGCATCATATTTTGGTTTCTTTTATATCAGACAGCTTTGTCTGACAAAGATGTTTATTAAATAGAGATGCAGACAATTGCTGTTGAGTTAAGATGCTTTTGTGAAATATTACCACTGTAGTAAGTTCAGTTCACATTAGAAGCTCCACATCTACAGCCATGTGCCAGACAGAGCTAATTTCAACAAATTCATAAAAGCAACTACTGTAGGGTAATGGCTGGGAAGCTAGTCTTTTGAACCATTACTTCTTTTATGTGCTGTGTCTGTTCAGGATGTAGGCGATCATGACCCTCCACATCTTCCTGTCCCTTGCAGCTCTAAATAACTTTTATCTTTTTGTTATTACTCCTGAACCCTGTTCTACCATCCATTTGCTCAAACTCATCAACTGTGTTACACACTGCTTTCCTCTGTCCCTCTTTCCCTCAATCTATTCTGAGTGTATCAGGTTTTCCAAGCCCTCTTTTCTCATTACATGCACCAGAAATTTCAACTGTCTCTTTCTGATGTTAAGTATGAGTTTTCTTTTTGTTTCTATTTTCTCCAAAACCTCGTTGTTGCTCACGTCAATGTTGATCACTTCATTTTTAAAGCTATGTAATGGACAATGCTAAGTTTAATAAATACATTTAAAACTAATTTTTTTTTTCTAACAATCTTTTATGCAAGTTATGATAAGATTTGGAAATATCAGATCTGTGAGAAACTAGTGGCTTCCAACCCACCCACACAACAGCTGTTGGTTTCTTTAAAGGGGATAAAAGAAAGAAACAAAAAAGAAAAGGAAAGAAAATAGTAAAACTCAACAAATATGTAATTCTCAGGCAGAGTCTACTTTTATACTAAACTTGTGCCTGTCAACCTTGAATTATTATTTACAACTTAATTTTTTCTATTTTCCTTAGAAAAACATGAATTATTTTTATTTTTACAATATTTTTTTCATTAATTCATTCTTCTTTCCATGTTTATTTCCCTCTGTCTTCTAGTAACCAAGACTTTTCCACTAAACTTTTCAACCAGCAAAAGAATTCTATTCAAATAATGACCTTTTCTTTACAGACTTTGCACAATAACCTGATTTTATTATCAATCGAACAGTCTCGTGTGTTTGTTTTTTTTTATATAGGACAATAACAAAACATCTTAACTCATTTTGAATTCAATAATGTTAATTCATCACATCAATACATTTACAGTTCTTGTTATTGAATTGTGTTGATTTGTTCTTCATTTATGAAGATCAGAGAAGGACAGTGTGTCTATCTTTAGCAAGTACTTCTTCCCCTTGTCTGCACTGCTTATTATAAAATAGAGATCAACTTATACACACCAAGCTGACACATCAGGATTGATGTCTTTCAGCAAGGTAAATGCTAAGCTGCAGGTTTATCTCAGAGTAACCATCTCTTAGCTGGACAGTCTTTCTATTTTTTTATATTATTGTTCATCCAATACAAGGCTCAAGAACAACTCAAGGTAGATAGTTACTTGTTGTAAAGGCATACAAGAGGTTGTAAAAGGTGCATATCATGAATATATATAGGATACATAACAGCTGACCCTAGACATTAAGAGGTTAAGAGTGTACTAATTGGGGAAGCCTTCTTTTGGGGGTTCTGTTCCACAATGTAACAGTTCTGAGGAAGAAGCTGTTAGATTGGAACTTCCTCTTTACCAATGGAATATGAAGGTAATGTGGATGTGTCAACAGTGTATATGGCATGGTGGGTCTTAGATTTCAAGGTCTGGACTGGTGGAACTAAAAAACATAGCACACCTTAACATCTACAATGAAAATAGTGATGGAATAACAAGAGGCTAGCAACATTTTGTCTGTGGGAAAGGGATTGTAGGGTAGAAAATAATTCATTACACACAAGGCTGTATAAATGCTTTTGTACTCTGACAAGGCTGGAGAAATTTGGTTATTCCGGCCTAGATATGGTAGCAATACTCCATTTTATTACAAGTCTGAATGATTTCACTTATCCTGCTAGTTCCACATAGCTGTAGGAAAGGAAACACTGAATAATCCCCTAATCTGACCTATTGGGGGAGATGGATTCATATCTTTTGAAAGGGATTTATATGAAGTGAACCTAAACAGCTAGAATTTGAACTCTTCTTAAAGATTCCATTTTTTTATGTTGTTAACTTTTAAGTCACGCCATACACTTTCCTCATATAATATTGTAAAATATGATATTAATATAATATTTTTATGCATATATATTGATTGATTTGTTTTCTACAGTTTATCAACCTTTTGCAGGTTATTTAAAGCAAGACAATATTTTAGCTTGTAAGAATATTTTTGAAAATAATAATGATTTTAGTGATGCAAGTCTTACTAATTAATTTATAGCTGGGGGAAGAAGAAAGGGATTCATACCTTTCCCAAGAATATTTGTGCATAAAGGAATATAACAAACCCAACTGGAATTGGAACTCTGCTCTCCAATTAACAATTCCAAGCCATTATCCATTATACCAGCTGCACATCCAAGCTTACAGCACCTGGCATTCCCAAGCAGTCACCCATCTAGATACTAACCAAGCTTGACATTGCTTAACTTCGGTGAGTGTATGGGAACCGGTGTTTCAACATGATAAGGCCATAACCTCTGTACATTATGTGTAAAGAGACATATATGCACACACATCATATTTCTTAATGTTAAGGAAACTAATTCCTTGTAAAACATTGTTTTTAGACATAATTATAGAGAAAGCACTCTAATGCTAATTTAAAATTTTGAATATGATATTTGAATGAACCATATCTAATACTTAGAAAAAAAATATATATGTTTCACTGAATAATATAGATATATTGTGTCTATTTTTATACTGATCCATTCCAGTTGTCAAAATAATAATCAGAAACTTCAAATTCTCAAGGCTCCCTATCGCAAAATCAGTGAACCAACACACAACAAAATATATTATGAATATAGCAACAACGTATTAAAATGCATATAACATTTAATACCATTTTACATTTCTACCAATTTCTGGTCAGATCCCTTATGTTGAAACACTTGTTTTACAAAAATTCCATAGCTACAATGGATAAATTTAAAATGTAAAAATAATTACAGAGAATGTTCATGTGTCTTATCAAAAATCCCCACCAGAATGGAATGCAGATTTTATCACAGAAACAATAAGTTTGTCTTTGTAATTTACCACTGAAGATGATCTTGGAGAACTTTGAAAGTATTGGGTTAATAAACACTAAGGCACCATCCTTGATGAATTCATCTTAACATCAAGAAACTGATTAGAGAACTGAAAGGATCAGTATAAAAATAGATACAATATCTATATTATTCAATGAAACATTTGAATGAAGATATTCTACCTAAATATACATATATATTTTTTATGCATACAACATGTGATTATATATATATATATGCTGGTATCTCCTGTTCTTTCAACGTATGAGAGTCAAGTAACACAGTTCCTAGGAACCGGCAACCAAAAACCAGCACATATGATTTGATTATAATGGTGAAGGCTTTGTGCAGAACCAACCACACATTTTGAAGAGCCGAATACAGAGATCTGGTGCACCACATGCTACAAGGTCCCCAAACAACCCTCTGCAGGTTTTGAATTCAGTGTTGTCTTTCTCCTAGACCAGTTGGCCATCCAAGGCTATAGAACCCAGTCTGTCCTGCTATTTACCCATAGTTGGTGGGAGAAGAAGAGGATTAGCATGTAAGTAAATGTAATGGATTCAACTGGAATTAGAACTTGGCCCTCCAATTTCTCAATCTGAGCTGCTATCCATTACTCCAATGTGCCTTGTATATATATATATATATATATATATATATATATATAGAACAGATGTTTGTAGTGTTTTAAGTGAATTTCAAAGAAAATATTTAGATATTTATTTATAGATTTATTCACTCACTTATGTGTCATTTTGTTCCACTGCCTTTTGCCATCTTTGAGGTAGTTTCATAATTCCATCCTGCGAGAATGTTACATTTATCTGGGTGATAAACTGATCTAAGAGAGTTTTACAGCCTTCTAGAGAATTGAAGTTCTTCCCATTAAATTGTAATCTGAATGTGCAAGGTGTCACCTTCCAGTGTATATATATATATATAATAAATTTAGGTCATGTGTGTTCTAACCATAAGACATAGGTTTGAATCTCATTAGGGCTATTTTGTCAAGGCACTGACTTTTTGATAATATCAATCTGGAGAAATGATCCCAGCATCCATTAGGAAGTGCCTAAAAACTATACCATGGCTTGACCAGCCTTGCGAATGTAGCTGGGTAAATAAAATTATTCGGAATCCACCAAAGAGTGCATTGGCATGAAATCACAACTCATCATGACTGAGAGTTCAAGTGCACTGACTTTATTCAGCTACTGATCTTGCCAGATTATGTGATCTCTCCCAGAAACTGTAGCTTAGGTCTGATCATCATTGTTGTAGGTTTGTTCTCTGGTTGCTGAAGTAACACAAATTCAAAACCATGCCTGAGTAAGGAACAGCAAAAGGGATTAGCTAGGCACTGTAGCAGATGAGCATACTCAGAAATGAGCAGCCAATCATTGCTTATTATTTACTCTATTTGATAGCCTATATGACTCCACCAACTATTTACATTTAATATTATAATATTCATGACCCTAGTTGACTTCAAATGAACTATAACATAATCAGCATCAGGTTGCCAACCCTCCATGGCTCCAAGCAGTACCTCAGCTAAGTGGGGAGGTTAGGGTTAATCCTTGGTACTTGAGATGTCTCCAAAAGGGAAAATACTGGTGAAATTTTTATGTCCAGTATCCTGTACACTCACTTTAAACCTGGCTTTGTGCTATGTTCTGTTCAAGTGGAAATATGAAATTAAGCTTGGTAGAAATACTGGTAGTCTATTGCATCTTGATAAACATTATCTTACCAGATATCTGAGCTTCATAGATAAGTCCTGGCAGATAGTTTCTAAGAAATTCTTTAGAAGAAAAAATGGGAATCTTACATGTTATCAAATTAATAAATGAATTTTTTTTTAGATGTTACTTCGTTTTTACCTGCAATATAGTGAAAAACATTTGTTAGCCTCTGGAGTCTGTTTTCCGAACAACTCATTTTAGTGGTCAAGCTGGGATTGTCAGCTTTCTGTACCTTTATGTGCTGAAAGCCCACTTAAATTTATTAGCATCTCATGGGACAACTGAATTAGAAATGACCAAAAATGATAAAATCTGATATTATCCATAATGGTAAAAGTATATTCCCAACATCATATGAAAGTCAATACTTTAGTAAATAAATTGTAAATATTCATTAGTATGTTGGTAGCATGAGTAAATGAGATAATTTACTACAAGTAATTTAGTTGAGTGCAACTAGCTAATTCTAGAGGTGTTTTGTATGTTGGTATTATTTGACTCTTCGCTATTTTTTGACAGGTTGCCTGTTTATATAATGCTGTAAAATGCTAAAAAAGTTTAAATCAAAAGAATATCGAACATATAGCAGAATACTGACAGCTTCTATTGATGTAATATCATTTGGTTATTAGTTTTAGCTGTGTTCAGTTGTTGCTTTATCTATAGTATATGATTCATGCAAGGAAATATCAGAGGTCTGAAATGGATTTAATGTCAATCAGGAACCTTTGATCTAAAGAGGAGTTGTTCTGTTGTGACCCCACTATATACTGCCCTCCTCCTAAGAGATACCAAATTAAGCTTTATACTTGGTGTGACATCAGAACATCAAAAGAGCTAGGTGCCTTAGAGGGTTGATCATGAAGGTGAACTTATATCAACCAAGAGCAGAATTGAGTCATGGAGGATGTTGTTGGTTGTGCTAAAATATTAGCAGGAAGTCAACCTAGCCGAACTTTGGATATGCACAGGAAAAATATCTGGAAGACTGATATAAACACCTGACCCCATAAGGAGGAATATAAAGTTCATGTCATCACAAGAAGATCAAATGTTCAAAGAGATTCTCCAAAAAACACTTATCTTAACAACTGATATTAATTTGACAGGGTCCAGAAGTAAATAGACAATAATTATTCATATAACATTTTCCACTGACATGAAGTGGAATGATTATATTGAATCAATTGCTGGGTCTGCTGCTAGCAAATTGGATCAATGTGTGATGCTAGACAATTTTTCTTGCCAGAATCTGTCTTATATATTTATGAGTCTACCAATCATCTATGCTTTGAATATTGATACCACATCTGGTCTGGTGTTTCTGCTATGGATTTAGAGATTCTTGATGAAATCCAGAAAGAATCTGCAATAACCTAGCATCTCGACTTCAGGCACTTTGAAACTGCCATAATGTAGCTTCCCTGTGTCTTTGCTATAAATACTTTCATGGTAATTGTTCTGATGAACTTTTGTAGACTTTATGAATTTAAGTGCAATACTAGATTGACAGCTAGGTCTCATCATTTTACAATTGAAATGGCCAGATGTAAGTTCTATGCTAACAGTTTCTTCTCTTGCACTTATCACTTGTGGAATTCTCTTCCAGCCTGTTGCTTTCCAATATAACTTGATCTTAAAAAATGTAAATGTAATGTCAATTGTTATCTTCTGTACTGTAATTTCTCGAAAATAATACACATTTTTTCTACTGTAAATTACAGGTGATAGTAGGGGTGCATATTATAAATAGGTTTAAACAAAAATATTTTTTTTGTTATTGATTTATATTAATAAATATGTACTTGTTCTAAAATGAGAAAGGTATTATCTCAATTTTCATTTTAAATCCAACTGTAATAATTGTAACATTTTTTGTCAATAAATTTATGTTTATCAGTAATCGCATATTTTATTTGGCAAAAAAATAAGTCAATACAGCCTAAATGATAGTTGTGCTTTTTTCTTAGCTGAATAACAAAACACAGAAAATTCAAAAGCTTATCTTCATAGTCATCAGGCAAATGCTAGGCTATGGATATTTTTCTAATAGATATATCAAACCTCTTCATAAAAAGAAAAAATCAGTTTGCTAAAGCTTTAAATGTGTTTCCAGAATACATGGTTTTCATAAGTTCTTTTGCCTTCAGCCTTATTTCCACAGTACTTATGGAACATCCACTTGATCGTCTTTCTTTCACAAATTCAAACTTTGTTCCATATCTGGATATTGAGCTTTACTTCTTCTACCTATAGCTTTAGCACTTGATTTAAACTTTCTTCCATACACATATGTTAGCCTCATTCAACTCATATTCTTTATCTGAAGCTCTGTTTCCTATTCTTTCTGCTAATTCTATTACTTTTTGGTTAAAATTCCCGCCTTAACTCACATGTTTTGACGACATTTTGGTGGTAAAACAAAATATTATATTTATCGGGAAAACCGCTGGTAATTTTCAACATTATTTTAGCCGCTTAGTTTCAATTTTATTCTTAATGCCAAGGTCAACAAAATGTCTTTGTAATTATTTTTTGTTTTCTTTTTGACAAAATTTATAGACGTGTATTATACATCGGGATAGATATATTTCTTAATTTTTGGATCATTTGTTGGGGTGCGTATTATTTATGCATGCATATTATTTTCTAGAAATTACAATACTTTTATTGTTCTATAACGTTAATA